AGTAGGCAACTGCACACGGTTCCACTCCATACCGTAGGTCACTCATGACACCTGGAGAGGTGGCTGGTGCGTTCTCAACCCCAACTAGCCATACCATAAATTCTGGCAAGCCACATGGGGTGGTGAAGGCTGACTTGTCCTGAGCCTCCTGGGTTAGAGACATTGGCGCATATCCTCTGCTCAGGTCCATGACAGTTAGACAGCGGGCACCTGCCAGCTTCTTCATTACCTCATGGTTCCTGGGCATGGAATCAGCCACAACCGCAGGGCTGGTGTTCAGTTTTCCAAGGTCCTCACAAAGCCTGGCCGTCGGATCCCCTTTGGGGAACGGAACAACTGGTGATGCCCAGACCCCGTGGGACTTCTAAAACCCTGACTGCGGCATTCCCTATGTCTCTTTGGCCCATTCTGTCTGCACCCCGTGAGATGAGGCGGACCGAAGGCATGACGGAAGGATACACCCTGTTGTCTGCCTTATGAACAGCATGGTTGGCCCTCATAAGCTTTCCCTGAACCCAGACACCATTTACCATAAGCATTGCCAGCAGCTGCTGTACCTGAATGGAGAGGAAGGGTGATTGGAGCTGAAGGCCTAAGCTCCTTCCCTGAGGGCCAGCTGTCAACTCCAGTAGAGCCCCTCGCACTTCTAATCCAAGTGTACTGCCACTGCCCATGACATGCATTGTGCTGGGGGTTGTGAGGGGATGAATCTAAGCCAGAATTAATTCTGTGTGACTTCCTCCCTGGCTTTAGGTTTTCCCCATGGACCTTGACAGACCATATCAGGTGACACTCTCAATACATGTCCCCTAGGCTGACTGGAAGCAGTGAGCAGCTGGTTAACTCTTCAAGTCCCCAAGCCCCCTGCCTATAGACTATTCATTCCTAGCTTCTCACTGACCCAAGCTGTTGTTTATCTTTCTCAGCAGGGAAGCTCACAGCTAGCCTGCTGATGGCTTCAACAACTTGGTCACTCCCCAATGCTAGCTTAGCCGTGGGACTACAAGTACCACCCAGCTGTCCAGTACCATACAAAAGACAACTGCTGGGGGGTTGTCGAGACAGAATCCTCTGGGCTGGAGCAAGGAAAGGGCCTATCTGGACCATCCCGTTGCTCAGCACCCAGAGACTGTACCTCTGCCCACTTCACAGCACTGTGGGTGACCCCAAACAATGGAAAAACATCATCATTACATTAAGTAATTACATTGTTAGTATCAACTGCACATGCGTTTGATACCTCCACATGCAAAGGGGTCTCCTCTCTTTCCCTAAGAGATGGAGAACTTTATACCTGTACACTCACCTCACCCTCCCTCTGTCCATCCACAGGTTGCCCAGATATTGACTCAACATCTGCACACCATACCTTGGTATGTCCAGAGAGTTCCGTGGGGGCATCCGGGATATTCTTAGCAGGGGCATAATAGGAAACAAGAGTACCTAAAGCAGCACCCAACAGAAGAGGTGTGGGGATTTCATCCGAGACTCCCACCTCTCTCATCCCACTTCCTGCACCCCAATCGATGAAAACGTTAGCATGGAGTACGCGTGAATGGATCCCCCCAACTCCAGGGAGGGTAAAGAATCTCTCTGGGATGATATCCTTTCTTTCTATCACCTCTGATCTGATCAATGTGACTTCTGCTCCTGTTTCAAGGAAACCAGTTATGGTCTAGTTGCCCACAGTGACTGGCTGCAAGTTTGCGGTGGTTACCCGAGTTTTCCTGCGGAGAAAGCATGGAAAAAGGGTTGCTGGCCAGCTGATGTCATCTTCTTCTGCTCAGGGCACTGAGTCCTGATATGTTCACCTTTTACAGAGCTGTAGCATCTGTGGGTGTCAATGGAGATTAGTGGGACACCTGGGACTGCAGGTGCTGACTCACCGCTGTAGGAGGGGTTGCCATGGATGATTTCCCTCCTTTCCAGCCATTTGTAGGAGAACTGCAGTGGTCAGATACCCGAGTGTTGATATAGATCTCTGCCAGTTCTGCTGCTGCTTTGGCAGACGCTGGTCCTCAATCCAGCACAAACTGTCTGATGTCTGCTGGACAGAGGTGCAGCAGCTGATCTTGGATCATGAGATCCTCCAGGGACTCGAAGGAGTCAGCTTTTAGGCCTCTGGTCCACTGCCAGAATGTGGTGTGTAAGTGACTTAACATATCCGTATAGGAGTCCTCAGGTCCATTTTGCAAGGACCTAAATCACTTCTGGGGCAGCTGATACTTCCGAACAATTGCATCCTTTAGAGCTTCATAATCATCGTCCTGCTCCACTGGCAATTCGACAGGCATCCAGGGCCTTGCTGCGCAGCCCTGGTGTTACTGAATCCATTGTACTTGGGGCAGATGGCACTGACGGCAAGTTTTTTTCAAATGACAGTAAATACACATCAATGTCACTGTCCTTTTCCATTACCAGAAACTTTGCAAGGGAAGAAAGGCGTCCCTGTGCTCTAGGGACCCGAGGTTCTGAGCCAGTCACTGCTGCTGGAGCCTAGTCATCTCCATTTCGTGCCGGTGATCAGCCTCCCTCTTTGCAGCCTCTCTCTCAACCTGGCGTTTCTTCCTCTCAGCCGCTGCTTGGTGTTCCTCTCCCTCAGCCTGGTATTCCTCTCTCAGCCACTGCCTGGCTTTCCTCTCTCAGCCTGGTGTTCCTCTCTCTCAGCCGCTGCTTGGCATTCCTCTCTCTCAGCCGCTGCTTGGCATTCCTCTCTCTCAGCCGCTGCTTGGCATTCCTCTCTCTCAGCCGCTGCCTGGCATTCCTCTCTCTCAGCCGCTGCCTGGCGTTCCTCTCTCTCAGCCGCTACTTGGCATTCCTCTCTCTCAGCCGCTGCCTGGCGTTCCTCTCTCTCTCAGTCTGGCATTCCAGAATCTGCAGGTACATCAGAGGATCTGTCTCCATGATGCCTTTCAGGGCTTCCTGCATTTGATGAGAGTCTGTGCCGGTTACAGGCACTCTGGCGCTGGCCTGCTCATGCTGCGGAGTGGAGGTGACATTCTGTGGTACTCCAGTGTCAGTCTCTATTTGCCCATCCTGAGAGGCCGTATCTGAACCACTGGGATCGGAGGTGGCGGGAACCCCTTCAGTTTCAGGTTCCCCCAGGTTCTGATCTGCCCGGATATCATACTCCTGTAGGGCATGAATCAAACTTTCACGATTCTTGCCACCAACATCAATTCCTTACTTACTTCACACTCAGCACATAAATCATATTTGCTCATCCTCTTGTATTCAGCTAAACCAGGCAAAATTGAAAGAAGAAAAGATAGAGCAGAAAGCAGAAATAGGAAGGAGCTGTTGCTGTATGTCTCTTTTATAAAAAAACAAAAATATGCACCGCTTGTCTCTAAGGACTGTTTTCCACAAAGGTTACAATCCTTCAGTGCAGAACTAATCCCTAACGCTGCACTGAATGCTCTAATGCAGAACTATCCCAGATACGCTGCCAGCCAATATGTGACAGAACGCAGCGTCCGACCCCTGTCCTTCTCACCAACTCGTGACAAAGGACCAGCCAATCTCACACCGTGTTGTCACTCACATAACAATGCCACCCTCAGCCCTGCACAAAGATTTTCCAGCTCGCAGGATTACAATTTATGTGCCAGCAGACTGATAGCACTTATTACTGGGTTAGGTTAATTATGCAATTAACCCTTCAAACTCCAACCTGCCTCCAGATAGCTTTGGGACTATCAACCCTTCACAATGTTAGCAAGAACAAATGTGAACAATAAGCGTCTGTAACACACACTGTCACCACAGACAGGGATATTCAGAGGATTAATACATACAGTAGCACTCTTCCAGAGGCAGGGAGTCTTTAGTTTGCATTAACAGCCTTAGAGATAATTTTAACACTTTTCAAAATAGGGTTAATTAATGAAAAGGTCAAATGGTGCAATTATTAAATATTTACAGAAAGCGATGTTACAAAGAGATAAAGAGAACAATAAAGCAACAAAAAAATAAAAAAATAAAAAAGGCGTTAAGAAGGCAGAATACTTGCAAAGTCCTTGGTTTTAGCAGAGTCCAATTGTCTGAGCAAAAACGTTGCCGTGGCTGTCTTGGGTGTTCCTTGGTTGATGGCAAAACGAGAGCTCAATCTTAACAAGTATTCTCAGTCCCTTTTCTGTGATTTCAAAGGGGTGCGGACAGAGAACCGATTAATCAATCATCCAGTTTAGGGGATGGGTGCTGGAGGTCACCAAATTTATGATTAAGTCGCAACTACAGTTTCATACCAATATTAATAACTTCCAGTATGTGCAGGTGGTGTTCTAGCAAGTGGCAGATTAATATTCAGAATTGTATTTCAAACCCAGGGATACTAACACAGCGTACCCTTGTCACCCAGGAGGGAGGAGACTGATTTCTCTCCTTTCCGGAATTGTTACGTTGTGGAATAGATAGTTTATGGCATGCTCTACATTCCTAGAGCCTTAATGGCTTACACGTCATGTCGTGACAGCTTGACTGAGTTATTATTGTTTTACGATAGGGCAGAGGGAAGTGTTTTTCATGGTTCGTGGAAACAGACATCCTGCCAAGACTAATTAGCTTAGGTTTATAGCTCTAGAAAAACAAAAATGGCTGTCACGTACAGGTTCCATGTCTCTATTGTACACAATCTTTACAGATGACTCCACCATGGTGTCCCAGAAAAGAATTCGGTGTCCTTTTGGAAACTCTGACTCCTCCATCACACCATCCTCATCACTCTACTCTGTTATCTCCTTTTTAATATTAACCTGTGTGAAATCCCAGGAATACAGAGGACGGGGACATCTCTCTGGGTTTCTGGTATTAGGTGGCTCCATCATATCTTTGAGTCCTTCTGAAAACTCCTCCATCACTCCATACTCCTCATCCTCCTCTTTATTCTCTTCTTTAACAACATTATCATCCCTGAGGATTCCACTCTGAAAGATATAATAAAACATTCATTGCAACAAACATGCTGTGTATAAATCACAACTACCAATAATTGTCATCATCTACCTGATGATGGTGAGGGATGGTGTGACCTTCCTGTGTGGAGTCCCGGGAATACAGAGGACGGGGACATCTCTCTGGTGGGTTCCCATGACTGGATCCATCTGTATGAAAACACACACACTGACTGAATCCATTGTTTCTATGTGTTTATCAGATGATGGGGGATCTAGGTGGATCCTCCGTACTGCTCTCTCCTTTACAATAAAGTCTCCTCTTACCCGGTGATGTGAGGGGCGGCTGATTGTCCATCATGACGTCCTTGTAGAGATCCTTGTGTCCTTCTAAATACTCCCACTCCTCCATGGAGAAATAGACAGTGACACCCTGACACCTTATAGGAACCTGACACACACAATGATACAGTCACCATCCAGACACATCCCTTGTCTGTTACTGGAGAATGTCCCAGAATTCCCGGCACCGCTCACCTCTCCTGTCAGCAGCTCCATCATCTTCTTGGTAACTTCTAGAATCTTCTGCATGTTGTGTCTCTCAGGTTTTAGGGAGTCACATGGAGGCACTGTGATGGTCATATGATCACCTGACTTTAGAAGAGGAAAAATCTGTATTGGAAAATCAATAGGAATATCATGTTAGAATCCCAGAATCCTCCTCACCTCTCTGGTCAGGTTTGTGTTTTTTAATAGAGGTAAGAGTGATGTCATGTGACCTCCCAGAATCCTCCTCACCTCTCCGTCAGGTCTGTGTTTTATTAATAGAGATAAGAGTGATGTCATGTGACCTCCCAGAATCCTCCTCACCTCTCCGGTCAGGTCTGTGTTTTATTAATAGAGATAAGAGTGATGTCATGTGACCTCCCAGAATCCTCCTCACCTCTCCGGTCAGCAGGTAGATGATCTCCAGGGTGAGGTTTAGTATCTTCTCAGTCATGTGACTCTGGTCCTCCTCCATCCTCATTGGTGCCATCATGTGATCTATACAGGTCTCCTTGTAGACGGATATCTTTGGGAAATGAAAGTAAGAATGATTTGGATGGTATTGGTCACACAATAATAGGATGTGGATGTGTGAGGGGGGAATAGTACATTTAAGGACTCCTGCCCCCATAGGAAGACATTTAGTTTGGACTGTTTAGAGTTTGATACATTTTCATGAACACAGTACTGACTTGGCCTGCCATTCCTGTTTCTTTTTTTGGGTTTGTTTCTGAACTGATTTTTGATGAGTTTTAGATCTGCAGACAATAAGATAAATACGATTCTTCCTATGACTTGTTTGCTCTGAGGCAGTGCTGTGAGGTCATCATGATGTCCAGGAAGGGGAACTTGCTGACTTTTGGCCGGAGTTGCTGGCTAATTAGAATAATTGCCAGAACTCTGACTGCAGAGCTCCAATCTCCGGCAGCTTGCTGACTGACAGGAGTGATGTCACTGTCACTCTCCGCAGTAAGAGAAGGGTTTGGATTGGATAGCAGGAGGATGGTGCTAGTGGAGTAGAGAGCTGTGGGGGAAGAATCTGTTCTCTTCCCTCCAATGACAGCCCAATATAGAGTAGGACAGCAAGGGAGGGGGTTGTTTCTCTTGGTTGCCAAGTATACTGTAGTGTAGTATCCTTGCACTCCATCATTGTGTTGGCTGCATAGTGTAATGATTGCCCATTGGCTGCCTGTGTAGTGTCATCATTGCCCTTTGTAGGCCATGTATGGTCAGGATGGTCCTTGTCTTGTCTATTTATTGTCAGTGCTGTTTGTTTAGAGGACCATATTACTAGAATTTATCTCCACAATGAGGAGAATGTTCCGGCCCCGGAAGTGGGGGAATGTTGTGCCCCTGAAGGGGTTAATCTGGGTTCCCACACTATATATGTGTGTATCATCATCTGCTGGAGATAAAAGACGTCACAGTGACTATGGAGGAAGAGGACGGACGTGACTACGGAGGAAGAGGACGGACGTGACTACGGGGGAAGAGGAGGACGGACGTGACTACGGGGGAAGAGGACGGACGTGACTACGGGGGGAGGAGTGAGTCTACGGACGTGACGTGACTACGGGGGAAGAGGACGGACGTGACCAGGGGGGGAACGTGAGGACGGACGTGACTACGGAGGCAGAGGACAGACGTGACTACGGAGGCAGAGGACGGACGTGACTACGGAGGCAGAGGACGGACGTGACTACGGAGGCAGAGGACGGACGTGCAGAGGACGGACGGACGTGACTACGGAGGCAGAGGACGGACGTGACTACGGAGGCAGAGGACGGACGTGACTACGGAGGAAGAGGACGGACATGACAGGGGGGTTACTGGGTGTAAATAGGAAATAACATCTTATTACCTCCTCTTCTGCCACTTCTGCCACTTCTAACAAGGCCTCATCTCTACTTCCTCCTCACTCCCCACTCACCTGGAACTGCTTATTTATACCTGACATCACTTCCTGTCTGTACCTGACATCACTTCCTGCCTGTCTTCCATGGAGACTTCCTGTCTGGGTAGAAGTGAGATCCCCACCTTGTGGAGCTCAGAGGAACTGCAGCCCCGAGAAGCATCTGGTAGTGTGACCCCGGCCTTGTGCTGTGTGTGTATGGACTGTAGATCCTTATAGAGGGGTCACCTCCACTCCCACCAAGGGGGACAGAAATATATGACTGCCTAGTCCATCCTTTCTCAGCCAGGGGTCCTACAAAGGTTTTTATAGGGGTTCCTTGTGCACTGAACTATTTCTGGCTCTCAATAACAACAATCTGTTGATGATGGAAGAATGTTCTTCCACTGACTACTGATATATCCTTCTCTCCCATTGGTCACTAATATGGGACCAATACTCAGGCCACTTACAATACGTCCCTGGTTTGGACTAAAGCGATGTTTGGAGTTTGGAATATGTGTTTGGAATTTATATTGTTTGGGGGTTCAGTGAACAGCTGATCTAAATGGGTATTCAACCAAATTCAAACCTACTACTAAATGTGTCAGCTTCCTGCTCAGGCTTGTTGACTGCCAGAAATGTCCTAACACCTGGTGAAGTAAACCTTCTTGGCTCATTCAGCTATCAACTGGGAATTCTCAGCAGACAAACAAAATGTATAAAAAAAGGATCTGTGGGCCTCTCTCCAAAAAAAAAAAAATTGTGGAGTGGGAGTTAGTGTGCTCCCTTCTGAACCCTACCAGGCCACATGCCCTCAACATAGGGATAGTATCTTACCAAGTCCATTCACTACTGGTTAAAAAGCTGAAGTCCAATGTATGAGTTTGTATTGGGGAACATGAGGAATCTGTACAACATAAGTCATCAGGAAATGTATATCTGTCTGCAGAACACAGGGGAGATATTGGAACGCGTGTTCACCTGGAAATAATCAAAAGGAAAAAGTCCATCCAAACCGTGAGATTGGTCAGAGACTCATTGGTGTCATTGTGTGTATTGCCAGACTAGGTCTTGGTTACAGAGTGAAGGGTGATGCTGCTCATACTATGTGGAACCTCATCTACATCATGGACAGCTTCTTCAGCTTCCTTCTCTTCTTAATAAATATGATGGATACCTTCATAATCATATAGAAGAGGTTGGGGCCCGGAGTAGTCATAGAAAGGTCCAGCACCCCAATAGTAGAGGAAAAGGTGGTCTGGTGACATCAAGAAGAAAACTCTGATCAATCTCTTAATCTCCATCATTAGAAAAATGGCGAGAAAAAAAATACTCCGGGATGGTGGAGGAGCTGTTGGTGTCAGTGTGGGAATGGACAGAACATGGGATGATGACACTGAAAGAACAATACGGCTTCATTCTACGATATGTCCAGGAGAGAACGGTACAAGAGAGAATTTTCTCTCTAATTAATGTCAGAAGAGCACTCGGAGAAAGCCTGTTCTGTGTTCTGAAAGAGCAGATGGAAGAGTTCTTTTTATGTGTTGCTAACATTATTACTCTATACCTAGTGACTCTATTACTGGCATGGTCTAATACTCTACTCTTTAACTGACCACTGCACTCTCTATACACAGGGCTGTATATGACATGTGCCTGACATCTGCACTCTATTTATATTTATAAATACATAAGGGGGGATATGATCTCCATGTATAATACATAAGGGGGGGATATGATCTCCATGTATAATACATAAGGGGGGATATGATCTCCATGTATAATACATAAGGGGGATATGATCTCCATGTATAATACATAAGGGGGGATATGATCTCCATGTATAATACATAAGGAGGGATATGATCTCCATGTATAATACATAAGGGGGGATATGATCTCCATGTATAATACATAAGGGGGGATATGATCTCCATGTATAATACATAATAGGGGTGTCACGGTGTGCCAGGCTACCCTTCTCCCTCACTGCAGCTTCCCCCACCTCTCCCCCCTCTCGTCCTGTCGCAGCTCTTTGAGGCTGAGCCACCCGCACACAGCCTCGATCGAAGCAGGCTGCGCGGGATAATGATGGGGGAGGGGACCACTGTGACCCCCCTCACCAGGAAATCCCAGCGGGGGGGCCGCTGGGAGGTCTCTGCGTGCCCCCGGTGAGCGCAGGGCTTCCCACGCTCGGTGCCTCGCCACAGACAAAGGCCGCACTCCCGGCGCGTGGCTGGAGTGAGGGGGGCAATATGTGTCTCGTTGCCCCCGCAACGTGGCGCTGGGCCGGCCGTTGCCGGGGCAACCCAGAAGTGTCCCACGCGGCCCTTTAAAACGGCCAGCGTTAGACCAGGCTCTCTCTCTCCCTACCTCTACGCTGTCCGGCCGCTCTCCCTCGGCCCGCCCTACTGCTGTCGTGGGAGGTCTGGGTGGGGACTGGGCCTCTGCAGGCATCCCCGCTGAGCGCTCTGCTTGAGCCCCCTCTTCCAAGGTCAGACCCTGTGGCCATGCTACCCCCGCTGCTGTTCCTGGCCGCTGTGAGGGCTCCTGCTGCTGATCGCGGGGCCCCTGGAGAAGCTGGCTGCTGTGAGAGCCCCTGCCTGCTGATTGCTGGCCCCTGGAGGAGATGGCCACTGTGAGGGCCCCTGCTGCTGATCGCTGGGCCCCTGGAGAAGCTGGCTGCTGTGAGGGCCCCTGCTGCTGATTGCTGGGCCACTAAAGGAGTTGGCCGCTGTGAGGGCCCCTGCCTGCTGATCGCTGTCAATTGAAACGCTGGCCGCTGTGAAGGCCGCCGTCCATTGCTGATGGTCCCTGGAAGCTGCCTGCTGCTAAGGTCTGCAAGTCACCTACCTCCCCTCCCTGGAAGCCACCTGCTGCTGAGCGTCTGCAATCTGCCTACCGTGAGTGTCCCTAGAAGTCATGAACTGCCCCTAGTGTGCGCACAGGCTACTTGTGTCCTGAACTGTCCCTGTTGTGCGCACAGACCACTCGGATCCT